AAATGGGATAGAGGTCACTGAGCTTTGAACACTTGGTTTCTAAATTCGACTTCTGCCAGTGGGAATACCTAATTAAAATTGTAAGATCACAGGTTGCCTTTTGCCTGTGAAGACACTATTACCAGTTCTCCCTCTTCCTCCCCCTACCCATTAGGACCCACTGAGAGTTGGTTAGCTGTGATTAATACTATGATCTGTGACCGCGAGTAGCTAGAAATTAGCTGGTCCACTTTGTAATCAGACCTCATTTGATCAACATGTTGCCTTAACCAGATGAGGCATTGTAAATACAGATAAAGTATGTTAAAGAAAACCCCACAACTTGCAAATCACATCAACATTCTCATCTAACCAGTGAAACTGGAAGTTTATGTTTTATTGTAACATGTACAATCTAAAGCAATGGTTCTCAAAGTTAGCTGCCCGCAAGAATCACCTCAGGCTTATTAAAGAATCATCTCCACAAGGGACATTACTTTTGTGTTTCTTTGTAAAGCTTCTCTAGGAAAATCTGGTGTGCAGCTAGGTTGAAAAACACCAAAGCACTTGCCACACTTCTTGTGGAATTTAAAAAAAAAAATCTATAGCACTTTTGTATAGCCTTAATGATTACAAACTTTCATTTCTTTGAAAATGGCTTACTGTTTTTTTGAGTTTCACTCTTGTTGCCCAGGCTGGAATGCAATGGTGCGATCTCGGTTCACCGCAACCTCCGCCTCCCGGGTTCGAGCAATTCTCCTGCCTCAGCCTCCCGAGTAGCTGGGATTATAGGCATGTGCCACTATGCCCGGCTAATTTTGTATTTTTAGAAGAGACAGTTTCTCCATGTTGGCCAGGCTGGTCTCAAACTCCCGACCTCAGGTGATCTGCCCACCTCGGCCTCCCAAAGTGCTGGGATTATAGGCGTGAGCCACCACACCCGGTGGCTTGCACTTTTAATTAGCTCAAGGGAAGTCTGGAGAATATGGAGGCCTTATTACAAACTTGGATAATACTAATTTTGGTGGAAAAAAAAAAAGTAAGGACTCTTAGGAGTATTGCGTAAGAGTCTGTAGGCAAGCTTAAGAGGAGAATCTTTAAAATGCGATGAACACAGTATGTATACAGACTTTCTTGCTCTGAGGGGTACCCTCCTCAGCACCCTCTCCCCCATCAGATGTAGAAGTTGCAATAGATTTGTGACAGTCTATTCTATAGTTACATACACACACTGGTTGCCTAATGCTAGAGTTGCACTGGAACAAATGCAAATTCTGTCCTTTTCCTCACTTCTTTGGGTAAGTTTCCTCAGTCGCTTTCAGTCTACAATTCCGTTCCATTAGAAAAATCATTCTATTTTTTAAATACAGAAGATAGCATTATATAGAAAATAAAAACGTTAATTCTGTAGGTATTGATATCTGACATCAGTTGTATAAATTAGAAATACTTCAACTATACCATATACCAATATGCATAGCTGATATTACCAATTTTTTCTTGTGAAGGATGTATTTTTACAAGATCAAATTCTCCAAAAACATTTTCTAATAAAACAATGCAAACTTTCACCAAAATATGTGCCAAGAAAATCTACCTTCAGATTCAAATTCAATTTACAAGGTTCTGTGCAGTCCCCCAAAACAGCCAGTAATTGGGGACACACGCTTTTAAAAGCACAGGTTTTGGAATTAAGAGAACTGGGTCTAAATTCCTGCACCCCATTAACTATCAGTGGGATTTCATAAAAGTTTTTATGTCACTAAGCCTGAGTTTTTTCATAGGATCTCCACAGGACCAAAGGATCTAATACTGGTAAAGTTCTTATCGCGGTGATGCTATGCAAGAAGGCTTAGAAGTCAGCATTTAACACTATATGCCAGCTGGGCATGGTGGCTCATGCCTGTTATCCTAGCGCTTTGGCAGGCTGAGGCAGGAGGATTACTTGAGCCTAGCGGTTTGATGGCAGCCTAGGCAACACAGCAAGACCTTGTCTCTGCCTAAAAGACAAAAAAAAAAAAAAAAAAAAAAAGCTTTCATAGTGGCATGCACTCGTGCTCCCAACTACGTGAGAGGCTGGGGTGGGAGGATTGCTTGAGGCCAGGAGGTTGAGGGTGTAGTGAGCCACGATCATGCCAGTGTACTCCAGGCTGGGCGACAGAGCAGGATGCTGTACACACACACACACAGACACTCTCTCTGCAACCACCCAAGAGCTGGTCTGTATTTTCCAGGTTTTATCTAAAAGTATCAAATAACTTCTATTTATAACAGTATCACACTATGTCATAGCCCCAATAGTGCAGTACAAATTTTAATTTGTGAAGTTCAATTATTTTAAGATTTTCTTTCAAGACACTTAGTGATCATTTAGCACATTCAAATGAGGTTTACTGAGTGCCTACACCCACTACATACCAGACATCATGCTGAGGCATTTATTCAAGAATCACAACTGCAGAAAGAATTCTGAGACTGAGAATTTTAATTTTCCCACATTGCAATAAATCTTATATGCAATAAAGTTTATTAGTTGAACTGTCCTGTTATTAAAATCTTGGAATTTGACAATTTCATTGTTACTAAAAAATACACAAGTATACTTTGAGCTCCTCATGTATAATTTTAAAGCTATTTTTGCATGGCTCACTCGAGGTCAACTTAGACCCTAAAACTTAGGATCAACTTACTTACATGACGCACTTACAAATTTGCCATTTCTAAAATTAAATGCACGGGTTTCAAGACACCCTAGTTGTTTTTCTCCTGAGCGCGTAATGGCCAATCTCTGTATCATTACCTGTTAAATTTATCTGACATTCTTACATCTCCTCTTCCCTCTAGCTAATTTGACATAGGAAAGGCACACAAAGGAAAACATTTTGTAAATTTGTAGATTTGAATTTAAGGTACACACCTACCTGTGGTCCCCACTTAAGTATGTAAAACTTTCTCTAAGATTGCAGGAGACAAAACGCCTATTTTCTTTTCAATGGACACATTCCAGAAGGGCAGCCATCACCTTCCCTGTTTTCCTTCCTACCAAAAGTTGGTATCAGCAAATAACATAAAGCTAACAAAATTATGCAAAATTCCATATTGCAATGCTTCATGTATTAGTTTGTCACATTACTATTCATGAGAACGAGGTACAAAATAAATGGAAAATTTTTAATATGGAAAATCGTGTCAATTTGTAACATGGAATATGGATAGGATTAAACCTAGGTCTAACTCGTGGCTCTGCCATTTCCTACTAGCAATGCTGGACAACACTGGTATAATGACGGTTCTCTCACATAAAGCCAATATGACAACTAAATGAATGTACATAAAATATTCAGAATAGTATCTGGCATATGATAAGCACTTAAATGTTACTAACATTTCTAATTATTTCTGCTTTGAGGACTAGAAATGACTTCTAATTTTGCTGACCTGCAATGTTTTAACATTTGCATTTATAGAATGCAAAATACTATGCAACATATAGTAAAATACATGACCTACAATCGATATGTAACAGCTTTCCTTCCAAGATTGACACAATATACCACATACTTTATAAAAAATTATGCTATAAAAGTCATGTCTTAAGTTACAGTAGACAAAGATAAAAATCCTTTATTATGGAAAATGAGTTAAACTGTAAACATTAATACTGCTTTCCAAACTGAGGAATTAAATAATTTAGAAGCCTAAGATGATGCTAGTGTACTAGTCTTCTAGAGATGTAGCCATCTTAAAATCAGTTCTAAGCCTTTCCTGCTACCCAACATACCCAGTGAACAACACATCAACAGTGCTTCACTATGAGAAGGATTCTTACTGAGAAGCTATATCATCATCATCTTGGGGGTTTGATAGCACATAATTACAATGCTACACAGGTGACTTAACATATCCTTTAGAAAGGCATGCATCCCTTCCACCATTCCCTTTTAAACCTTGCATCACAACCACTTTTTTGTGAGGTTGTGCATTCTCTAATTGCAATGAATTTTCAGTCTTTAAATAATGTAACGATTGAAAATAAACACTGTCCTGGACTTGATAATGAAGGCAGAGAATTACACTTTAACAATTACTGAAGAGATGACATCATTTTTGCAGTTGAAAAACTATGTACCCATCCTCCTCAGAACTCTTTTAATAAATCACCAAAATTTCTCCGTATCAACAGGACAGAATGGTTAGGATGCATTTTTCTTTCAAATTAAAGCATTAAAAACTGAGAAAAAAAATAGCATCTGTGACCTCTTGCTAAAAAGAAAGCAGTGTTAAAGTGTATTTTGTTATAACCTTTATGACCTAAAATAATACTTATGAAGTCAAACATATAAACATTTTGTGTGACCAATTTTTTCAGTGCAGCATCACATCGTCAGCATTCTCCAACCATTCAACTGCAATTCAGAAATGTTTTAATATATTTAGAAGCATAAACATCAAACCTGTGCTCCGAAATTAACAAGTATGTCTCTAAACTCTAGATCTGATTTTTACAGCCACACTTGAGACAATGATGTAAACTTAAACTTTACTTTTAATGGCTTAAACTAGCACTAAAATGTTTAATGTCTCTGGAGATTTCAAATGTAGTTTTTTCATCATTCATGTTTACTAACTCGACAATCTGAGCTGTCCTGTTTTCCCAGGTGTTAAGTATCATTTAATTGGGAAATGAAAGCAGTAATAAAATTCTCAAACCTGAAATATCACATTACTTTCCTATAAACACCTTCCCATTATAGAAAATTTCCAATTATGTCAAAATCAGAAGGTGAAACCCTTAGCTTTCCATGTGACACCTGACCTAGTGCTGTTCAAGTGTGGCACAAGTGTCCCGAGAACAATGTTCACAGTCTTTTTCATTGGCATCTTAATTGCATCATGTAGAAGTGGAAAATGCAGAGATAAAGAGCACAAGGCTTATAATTCTACAGTACAGATGGAGACAAAACTGCAATAAAAACATATTTGCAAGTCTAAAAGGAAAATTATAACCCAAGACGCATGGGGAAAAATATTTATGTGGAGTTTTTAATCCGTATTAGAATTCAGTTGTTTTAACTTGACCATAAATTTAAACAGAAACCATCTTCTGAGACATACATTCTAATAAATGTATCAACAGTACTGATAGTCAACGAAGGGTCAATTTAAACTTATTAGTAACATTTCATTTTTCTATCCAACAGAAATCTATAGTGGTTTGCCCCATTACATATCTGAAACATTGTCTTATGAAAACAAAATGAAAATTAAATAAAATTGAAGATAAAAATACTCTGGAAGCACAGGATATCTGACAAGAATCTTCAGCACAAAGCACATCTTTGAAAACGTGAAACGATGACTCTTTGGAGGACAATAGCTAAATATCCAAGAATCATCAGGTTTGAGAAATATTGCTTAATCACTTTCCAAAACACAGTTAGCTGCAAGAATTGAAGATTTCATTAAAACTATCAAGGTCATCATATTTATTGCATCTTTAGATTGCATTTTGAAACAGAAAATTAATAGTGCACCACAGCTTCACCAAAATATATATTTAGGGGCAGGGAGGATCTAAGATATTTATAAACAAAGTATAGACTGTATGTGCTTTTCAGAGGGGCTGAATTAAATATAACCAGCTGCCAACTTTGTGCTCTGACATACTTGAATTAGTGGGTTTGTGTATACTAAATTCATTTATTTTTGTCTACAATAAATGAAATAAAAACACCACCCTATACAATCCACTATTAGCAGTGAGTACAACAGCAAAAAAATTATTGTACAATTTATACATACTAAAATATTTTCTTTCTCTAGAAATAACTCAGAACAAAACCTAATCATTGTAAGACTTAATCTGGGGAATCTCAAATTACAATAGGGAAAAACCAAATCAGGATGTGTACTTGAGCCCAAAACAAAGGTTCCTGGTCATAAGGCTAGAAGATTCGTAAGTGCAAGTGGTAGAATACAGCATGCTCAAATTGTATGCTTGGGTCTTTGTATATTTATCAAACCTTTAAATTAAGTAAGACTAGCTAAAGAAATGTCTTCAGAGCAAGATAACTGGGAATTCTGCATTTCTTTTGCCATTTTTGTTACCCAACTTACACAATGCGCAAAGTGCTAAGCAACACTACAAAAACACATTTACATCAACACTGAAGACCTGGGGAAATGAAATCCAACAATTTTATTTTAATGAGCTGTATTTTCTAAATTTTTGTTTTATTTTCCTGTTTTCATACAGTAAAGAAAACAAAACGCAGCACATTCACATTTTCCCGAGGAACTGTAAAGATGATCTCTACAGGGATAAACGTTGTAAAGCCTGAAGCTCAATCAACTGTTGTTGAAAACTCTCAAAGGGAGTAAAGGCTTGATCTCAATGGTCTAGAACATGTACTGTAATTTAATAGAAGAGATGGTCGTCTTAATATTTAATGATTTAAAAGAACTTCCCAGTCCATGCGAAGAGTACAGTCCAAGAATAAATCAAATTTCTGAACGCATTTTATGCTACATATGTGTATACTTTGCGATCCTCAGGTGTTCGTGCCAAATATTCTCTCTCAATAAGTCCTTCAATACGTTTCTTAATAACAACTGGACTTGGTAAGAATCGAGCCTTCAACTGCTGAGTTACCTAAAAAAGAAAGTAGACAGCATTTTTATATAAACACATAGAAATTCCTATCTTTCAACAGAACTGATATGTCATTTTAACACTGAGAGATTGAACTTTACTAACTGGATTAACAAAGCTAAAAGCACAGAAACTTTAAAAAGGTTCTGTCTGAAAATGTAATGTATGGTTACAACACACTTCCTCAAATCAGAGTGTGAATGCTAAGGACAGCAGTTGAATAGATGAATTAGTTGGAATTATGTTAGTGTGAGTATATGTCACCTATAGTTTAACCTTTTGATGCTGTTATCTACTGACTTCTGGGTTACACTCAAAACTTACAGAACTTGGGTAGCCTATGTATTTAAGAACACAAACTCTGGACTCACAGTACCTGGATAAACTCAGCTCCACCACTACTAGCTCTGGGACCTTGGCCCACTGGCGTGTACACTCAATGTGTTAACAGACATAATGCCTTAGAATAATAATGCCCAATCAAAAGTGCTTCTGTTGTTCCAAGTACTATCAGATTCTAAGTACTGTGCTACATATAATAATAAAACAGTAACTAAAGTAGCAGTCACAGTCTGTCTATGCATCAGTCATTTTGCATGTATGAGTTTATGGTTTGGTTTTTTTTTTTTGAGACGGAGTCTTGCTCTGTCGCCCAGGCTGGTGCAGTGGCGTGATCTCCGCTCACTGCAAGCTCCGCCTCCCGGGTTCCCACCATTCTCCTGCCTCAGCCTCCCGAGTAGCTGGGACTACAGGCGCCCACCACCACGCCCGGCTAATTTTTTGTATTTTTAGTAGAGACAGGGTTTCACCGTGTTTGCTAGGATGGTCTTGATCTTCTGACCTCGTGATCTGCCTGCCTCTGCCTCCCAAAGTGTTGGGATTACAGGCGTGAGCCACCATGCCCGGCCTATTTAATTAATGTTCTTAACCCTGCAAAGTTGTCTCATTTTACAAATGAGGAAAATATGCCAGAGAAGAAAACTGACATCAACAAGTAGTAAATAACAGAGCCAGCAGAGATGAATCTAAACCTTTCTGACTTCAAAGTCCATGTTCTTTGCTCAAATCCATCCGTGAGCCAGCTTTGCTTCTACTCTTGTTGATCAGCTCATTTCCCAAAGCCATAATGGATTGATAATTCTTTGAAATCTGAAAATTCAGCACTTCACTCTGCAACTACAATCTATCATCCTTCCAGGATTACCACTCCAGTATCTACAAACTTGCTCTCAACCCACCACCTGAGACCTCCCACCCTTTGCCCTTCTTTTCTTCCAGCCTATTAACAGCTCCTATAGACTTGCTCTCTCCCCTGTAACAGAGCCTAAACTGCATTCAAGATCACTTCAGCTGCACTCTCAACAGGACCTTCTACTCCTGATTCTTTTGGTTCTATCTCATAAACACTATTTGATTAAACCTATATTCTATATATATCATTATCAACCTACCACAGAGCTCTTTGCTGAGTAAAGATGTAGTTGTTACACCACTTGTGTACACCAGGAATCAGTAAACTGCAGTCACAGGCCAAATACACCCCACTATCTGTTTCTGTAAACTTTTACTGAAACACAGTCATATGTATTTATTTTTATTAATTTTTTTTGAGATGGAGTCTCGCTGTCGCCCAGGCTGGAGTACAATGGCACAATCTCGGCTCACTGCAACCTCTGCCTCCCGGGTTCAAGCAATTCTCCTACCTCAGTCTCCCGAGTAGTTGCAATTACAGGCACCCACCACCACGCCCGGCTGATTTTTGTATTTTTAGTAGAGACGGGATTTCGCCATGTTGGTCAGGCTGGTCTTGAACTCCTGACCTCAGGTGATCTGCCTGCCTCGGCCTCCCAAAGTGCTGGGATTGCAGGCATGAGCCACTGTGAGTCACATGCATTTATGTATTATCTATGCTACAATTGGCCATTTACAAAAACATCTGCCAATCTCTGGTGTAGACTGGTAACACAAATTTATAGTATTCAAAAGTTCAGCAAGTTCCTGAGCACCATTCTTTGACAAGTATTATTTCAAATTTTTGACAATCCCCTTAAACTCCTCAACCCAGTCCTGCACCAAGCTCATATCAGGTTTTACATAGAGAAAATAAGCCATTTCAATTTGAAGTTCTTCAAATTCCCACCCTACACATGTACATTCATCCATACTTACACTAAACCTTGCTTAGCACATACCCCTGCACCCTGCCCTGGGTTCTCAGGAAGAGGCATGTTCAGTAACATCTGTGTCAGTACACTACCATCATCATACTCCCTATACAATCCTCACATTTCCTTTTCTAGAATGTGGTATTGATCCCTTCATCTCATTTCTTTCCATTTGTTTTTAAGGATCCCTTCCTTATTCTTAGGATATAAACATCCTCAGTATCCTCCCATTGTGGGGGGAAAAAAGCCCAAACCCTTCAACTCTACACTGAATCCTCTAATACTGCTCTCTCTGCCCTTTCCCTTGAGCCAATACTTCAAAGAATAAGCCACTCTTGGTAGTTTCCACCTCCATTTCCCTCTCAAGGAACTACCACTGGATATACACTTTCACGAGTCCAATGAAAATGTCTGAGAAAGTTAACCTGTCACATAATTGCTAAAGTAAGTGTTTATTCAACTTGGTTTTTCCATGATTTTTGATATTACTGACCACTCACTCCTTGTAATTCTCTTCCCTTGTGCTAGGGCACTGACATTTTGTTTTCTTTTCCTCCTGAAGCAGTGTTCTCAAATTTGAAAAAACATCAGAATCACCTACAGTTCGTGTTAAAAAACCAGACTGTTGGGCCCTATCCCCAGAGTTTCTGATTCAATTCTCAGGCTCTGGTGGAATCTAAGAATCTGTGTTTCTCATGAGTTCCCAGGTGATGCTGAGGTAGCTGCTCCAAGAACCACAGTGTGAAAACCAGTGCTCTAAAGAGTTTCTGTTAGTTGTTACACTCACCGTTCCTAAAATGATGAGGGAGGGGTCTATCCCATAGTTCTTTCTTGCTCTATATGCCAACACTGAGCAATTTAATCCACACCTGTGGTTTTAACTGCATTCTCATATAGCTAATTCCCAATGCAACTTCTAGCCCTCGTGTCTATTGTCTTCCACCTGCCCCTGGATGTGCCAATATACAATAAAGTCAACTTGTACAAAACAATATTAAGTGACATCTGGACCACAGCGGCACATTACATTACCCTTGTCTTTTTGGTTACAGAAACCAATCTCTATCTACTCATTCAAGCCAGAAACCTAAAAGGTGTCTTCAACTTCTCCCTCTCACTTCCTGTTATCAATCAGTAAGCCTGTCAATTCTACTTCCCAATTATCTTGATTCAGCTTTCTACCCTCTACCAACACTTTACCCAGGTCCTAATCCTCTCCCACCTACCTTAATGGCCTCTTAAGGGGTCTTCCCCTCCTTAGTTCCCCAATTTGTAAAATGAAAGCATTTAATGAACGGTAACCATTAGTAATTTTTAGAAATAAAGGGAATTTGTTTACACAAAGGTATTAAATAGCAGTGAAAATTTTTTCTTAATACTTCATGTGACAATATTCTACTATTATTTTTGTTATAAACACATTAGTTCTGGGAGTGTGCACATATTTGGATGTATCATTATGTTTAATTACCAAGTGAGTACCATACATTTCATAAGTGTTACATCACTAGAATTTCTTAATTGTAAAATTGTTTTTAAAATTAGTTGAATACAGTAATTTTGTTAATTTTTTTTTCTATATTAGCCCAGTCGTGAAGAGTCCTCACCTCTGCTACTAGAACATTGTGCTGCATCTTCTTTCTAGATTTCATTATCCGCACTATAGCAGCTTCTATCTCATGTTTTCTGTCGTCGTCTACTTTCTGCCTTGTTTCTTTCCTCTCTGGGTCTGATTCACCTTGTTTGGCAGCAACTAAAATAGAAATAAAGACATTGATCATAAATATAATTTTAAAATTTGGTTTATAAGCAAGCTTAATATAATTCAATGTAATCCACAGACAAAAACCAATTTCAGCCTCTGAATATACACACTTAAGTATACATTCAAAAAGTGTCTCATTTAATGTTTACTTGAATACTAAATTATCCTTTTCAAAAATGAGGAATTTAACTTTGAGATAATAAAGTCAATTTTGTTTTTATGCAGAATATAATTTCTTATCTGGAAGAAAAATAGTAGCTGAAAATATTCAGTAGTAAAATTACCAGTAAATAATTTTCATTGCTTATGACTGTCAGAGGTCAACTGATTATTTTATTACCATGGTTCCAAGTTAAAACTCACCAAAAGTATCTCAGATAGGTGAGTATCTGTTGTCTTACTAACTCAAAATGTAGCTGTAATCTCTAAGGTTTTATGCGGAGACAAGAGTATGTATTGCCAAGATTCAGTGAAATAAATAATTTAAAAGTACCACTAGGATGTCAGTTCCTAAAATCTCCTTGCCAAAAATCTCCCTAGAGTTCTGTTACCTAACCATTTCTTGCCGTATATTTTATTATGCTTTTTTATGTCACGACCTCATCACAAATTCATACCAGATTCCAATCTTTAGAAGTCTTACTCTATTCTTCCCTATAGTCTTCAAAGAAACTGCTAAGGGATTAAATACAGAAGTCTTCTTCTTCTGCAACTCTGCTCCAAATGAAACAGCAGAAAAAGAAAACTGATGTTTTATTTGTTCATCAAAAGGAGATAGATGTGAAGTTTCTGGAAGGAGAAACTGTAAAATTGCAAAGCAGCACATGGGGCATTGCTGACTGAGGCACAGGCATGGATAGCCATGAGACAGCAGACTGTACAATTTAGAAGATCATTCTGGTGTGCATATCCATTCAGCTGTTTCTAATTAGAATCCTTTGGATAAAAATACTGCTTTCAGTGTCATTTCCCCAGTGTAAGATAATCATTATCTTAGTAAAAAAAAAAAAAAAAAAAAAAGAAAAATCGAAGAAAATAATCTACTAAGAATGATGCTTATGATGCTTCTCCTCAGAAGTTGACGTCATGAAAAAAAAAAAAAGATAAGAGGTACTGGTTTAAATGGAACTAAAAAGACATAAAAATTAAATGTAATATGGAAATCTTGAGGGAATCATGAATCCAAAAAGTGAGATATAAAAGAAATTTTTGAGACAACTGAGGCAATATGGGTGTAAACAGATGACATGTAATTAATTTTCTTGGATATGATATAGGAGGTGTGTGCTAACGTTTTTTAGGGGGAAACTGTTGAGATATTTGTAAATTAACTTCAAACGCTGTAGCAAACACACACACGGGTTCGTATACACACAGAGGAAGGCATGGAAGAAGACAAAATTCTAATGACTGGTAAACGTAGGTCACAGCCATACTGATGTCCATTATGGTGCTTTTCACTTTGTGGATTTGAAAATAAAAAATACAAAGTTGCAGGGAAAAAAGTAATTGTTTAAACAATCCCTTTGGCTCATCTGGATTTGGTCACCTAAATAAGCGTCGTCTTAAATACCTGCAGAAAAACATAGATGTCAGATTGTGCTAATGATTCAAAATGAGTATTTTTTTTTTAAAATGTGAGGGGAGGGACTCACTCTGGAGCCTAACACAATACTCCTCACTTGAGTGCAGCAGAAGGGGTTGCTGTGCATGTGCCTATACATGACCTATATGCATGCTGGGGGATGGAATTTGAGCAAGGCAGGTGGTGAAGACTGTCAACTCTGGAAACCCCCCAGATTAAAATTAATCTAATTTTTTTCAAAGGCAGTGTTATTTTAGTAATTCCTTTAACTTCTTTGCATGAACTTTTATTACTGGCTACAGTAAAAGCAGCATAAATAGGTAGGGTCTGAGTCTTTGAATATTTATGTTAGTGAGCCTTTGACAATAAAACCAATGCGGTCACAATGTTTACCACCAAAGAGAAAATTCTGACTTAAACTATGAGTAAGAGCCAAAATCATTTAAAAACCATTCCCAAGAAAAAAACATTGCTTCATAGAATTTTATTGCTTAAAAGAACTTTTAAGCTCCTCTAGTAAAATTCTTCATCATATATGTTTTGAACATACCAAAAACACTATATACATGTACTCCAGAAACACATGTAAGTGTGCACACTTAACATGAAAATCTAAAAATCTATGAAGACTTCTTTTTTTTTAAACATAATACTAATATCTGATATTATTATTGCTGGGCATGATAGAATCTGGGATAACAAAGACTGTTAACTTATTTAGGGTACAGTAGGGTGAGGGTAAGGTAATCCAGATAAATATTCCCACATATTTTCCTCTAATTCTAGGATACAAATGAGCCCTAAAATCCAAAACTGGTATCTGCCCAAATGTATAGTTATGTCTTGCATTGGAAGAAAAATAAATTTTATTCCATGACACTCGCTAGTATAGTTTGCTTTATTCTTAATATGTATTTATGTCAAGACATGGGCCAATCTTGGCTCATGCAGATTACTATGATACAGTTTACAACTACAAGACAAAAGGGGTAAAACCCTGCCAGAGACACTACTCTGCTCTACAGAGTATACATACAAAACAAAAAGATCAAAATGAAAAAAAAAAAATTTAAGTGTGCATATAAAGCTCTAGAATCCATGTAATCTGGTAATCAATTGTATATTTAACATTACTTTTTAAAAGACTATCATAATATACAATATAAATAACTTTTAATATCAGCAAATCAGTCATTTAAAAGATCATCTTATTTATCTTAGGACACTGTTTTATTGCACACATATTTGGCTGTAATGAATATATTAGGACTAGGAAGCCTATCTAATACTAGTTTTTAAGCCAAGTAGCAATTAGTTTTAAACATCAATCAGCAAGGGTGGAGTGCCTTTTTTCCCCTTTAAATACACAGAAAACAAGCATCCTACATTATGTTAAATACTTAATAGAATTTTCACTATCAACTTATATGGCTCTACTAAAAATCATTCACATCAGTATCATTGCTGTTTCTAAATTAAAGATGATAAGAGTTTTAAGATTTTGAAACAAAAAATATTTATCAAAATATAAATAGCAACATCCAAACATCAAACTTTTACATAGGTCTCCCAATTCTGAAAAACCTCTAAATCAGCTTTAAAAAGACTTCCACTGACTATTAACCAGTTAAAAACAATTTTAAGTACTAATAGGTTCATAAGTTGTATTCTATTTGTTAAAAAAAATGGAAAGAAGTGCTTTGTTCACACCATAAATTACTTTTTAAAATGCTTACTGTACTTGGATTCAAATGCATTTTCATACAAATACTTATCAACAAAAGCTGCTTTTTTTCTTAAGCCTAAATACCATGCAGCACCAGAAAAGGAGTATTTTTTAAAGACAGAAATCCAACAGATGAGATTCTTTTTCTAAAGAGAAAAATATATAATTTTTTGAGAGGAAAAATATAATTCCAGATACCTGTTTGAATCTTGACTCTGTGTAGTTTGGATGTGAACTGATCATTAACTGTAAATATATGACCATTTTCTATTTCCTTTGATTTGGGTTCTTTTGTTAGAACCCGCTGTGTTGGTTTACCACAGGCGAGGGACTGTAGGGCTCTAACAAGCTCTCTTTCAGGGATATCTGTCTCTTGCTGAATTTCCTGAAATTTCATCAGATTAACATAATTAGACTTTTTGAAAGATTAAAGTTAATTAGTTAATTAGCAAGTAAACTGACCAAGCAGTAGATAAAAAGAGGTAATTCCATTAAATAAATAATGCACAAAAAAGAATTATCTTGAGTATTATGACACATCATTAAAATCTCATTATTTGAACAAACTAGAGGAAAGGGTGATTCAAATTATATAATATTAAAAAGACAAGTAACTTTTTTGTTTCAGGAGATACAATGGTTAATCTAAAAATGTTATCCAGTAGAGATTATCAGGAACCTGCTTTAACATTTAGTTTTGCAAAAATAAAGTGTTAACCAACATATAATTGCTAATTTTAGAAATATTTTATAGTCTCCCATCCAAGTTTATCCATACTCCTCTTTTGCTTAGTAATTTCCTTCATAGAAAAAAGGAAGATAAGCCTGAGCTCAGGCCTTCTACCATACAACGAAAATTTACCATCCAAACTGACCACATGTAAGCTTCTATGACCAAATGAAGAAAAAAAAACCAACCCTGTAAATTACATTAAACATAAAAATCAACAAGCAATCTGTGTTGAAGTTCAGGTGATAATCTTTTCTGCATATTATGGTATGAATAAAATGTAATACTAGGGGAGAAAAAGCAGCTCGGTAAAGAATGCTGTGTAATTTTAAATTCACTATTCTGTTATGTCAGTGGGACAGCAAGAAAACTGTAGTTCTATGATTTAGTCTCTACATGTCTATAGTGATACGTGATTTTGAGTTTTAAAAGTCTTGACACTAGGATTTATTGTTTTGATGAACTGTATACAGCTGTCTCTTTCTCAAAAGCAGCTTACGAAGAGTGGGCATGAAGATATTCAGATTATATGAGTAACTGATCTGGAGAGTCATTCTCTCTAGAGAAGTCTTTGAGCAACAGTTCTGTTCTTCTAAAAAACTGTCAGGTAAGCAAGGATTCAGAGAAATGTGATTTTCAGTGATTCTGCATATTCATTTTCTTCAAATAATCTCTGGTTATATCTACCTACTTTAGGCATTTCAAATACAATAAATGTTAATCCCAGAAAATAGGTGCTATTATTAGAATGAAGATGTTTATTATTACATACACACTAAGTGATTTATTTACATATTTTAGTTATTGCTTAATCATATTCAATGAACCAGAAAAACCTTAGGTGATATTTTAAAATTACAGATCATTCCCAGAGGTAACTATTATCAAAAGTATTTTATAAAAGTCAGTCCTCAAACCTTATAGTGGGGAATTCTTAGCTGCCTTACAATGAAATGCCCCTAAAGTCATAAGGTTGTACATATAATGAGAGAGTTAAGCGTAACAGTAGTATACTAGACATCTTTCTATTAGAGTTAGGAACAACATAAGGATGCCTATCTTTACTATTACTATTCTACCTGCACTCTGCCTTTTCCTATTCATCTACATATACACATGAATACAAGCATATGCATATACATGAATGTACGTGAACACATCCACCTATACACCAGTATTAGTGTTAAATGAGATAACATGAATTTTTGTATTAATTTCTTCAGATTTTTCCGCTTGCAAAAAGAGATTAAAGCTACAAGGAATTCCACAGTACTGTTCTATCATGACACAAGTGGAGATTGAGACTAGATCCAATGTTCTGTCGGTACATGCATTTCTGACTTTGAGCACAAAAGCCTGTTTTTCAGAAGCAAATTTCTAGAAATGCACTTGCTTCCTCAAAGTTATAAATATTTTATATTTGTGCCAGGCATGGCGGCTCATGCCTGTAATCCCAGCACTTTGGGAGGCCAAGGTGGGAAAATCACTTGAGCCCAAGAATTCAAAATCAGCCTGGTCAACACAGCAAGATGTGCTCTCTACCAAACATTTAAAAACTAGCCTGTAGTCCCAGCTACTCATGAGGCTAAGGTGGGAGGATGGCTTGAACCCGGGAGGTTGAGGCTGCAGTGAGACATAATACCACTACACTGCAGTGTGGGCAAGAATGAGACCCTGTCTCAAATTTTTTTTTTTGGTATTTGATAAATACTAATGAACTGCTTTCAAGTTGCTTAAAAATGTAACCCCCTACAATAGTACATGAATATCCACTCCCTCACATCTTCTTCAATACCAGATTTTCTTTTGCTCATATGTTTGGCTAAAAATGAAATTTCATTATTTTAATTTGTACTTCTCCATGACCACTATGGGAAAAAATATTTTTATATTTATAGGATATCTGTAATCTTCTATGCTTTCTCTATCTATATTCCTTGCATGTTTTTATACTCAATTGTTTCTCTTCATACTGATTTAACTGATGCTTTTTATAGATTATGGTTTTCAATTTTTATACATTATAAATAATTTCTCCTAGTCTCTATTTTTAACTTAATATATCTTATATAGATGTGTTATCACTTATGTGGTTACATCTGTTAGTCTCTTCCTTTGTTATTTTTGTAATAAATTTTTAAAAGACATTTCTCACATTAAGGTTACCAAAATACTCAAAATTTTCTTTTATTATTTATATAGATTTGCAATTATATTTAGATTTTCACACTTATCTGGAATTTTGTATTTGATGTGATCCATGGAATTGAGGTCTTAATACTACCCTCTTCTCACTCCCACAAATAAACAAACAATTAAATTCAGTTTTTAGAAATGACAAATTTGAGATCTGGCAAGATGGTCGAATAGTTAATAGCTCAGGTCTGCAGCTCTCAGTGAGACTAACGCAAAAGGCGGGTGATTTCTGCATTTCCAACTGAGGTACCTGGTTCATCTTAATGGGACTGGTTAGACAGTGGGTGCAGCCCACAAGTGTGAGGAGAAGCAGGGCAGGGCATCACCTCACCTGGGAAGCACAAGGGGCCAGGAAATTCCCTCCCCCAGCCAAGGGAAGCCCTGAGGGACCGTGCTATCCAGCCCAGATACTACGCTTTTCCCACAGTTTTTGCAACCCGCAGACCAGGAGATTCCCTTGTGTGCCTACACCACCAGGGTCCTGGGTTTCTAGCACAAAACTGGGTGGCTGTTTGGACAGATACCAAGTTGGCTGTAGGAGTTTTTTTTTTTTCCATATCCCAGTGGCACCTGGAACCCCAGCGAGACAGAACCATTCACTCCCCTGGAAAGGGGGCTGAAGCCAGGGAGCCAAGTGGTCTCACTCAGCGGGTCCCACCCCGACAGAGCCCAGCAAGCAAGCTAAGACCCACTGGGTTGAAATTCTCGCTGCCAGCACAGCAGTCTGAAGTCGACTTGGGACACTCAAGCGTGGTGGGGGGAGGGGTGTCCACCATTACTGAGGCTTGAGTAAGTGGTTTTCCCCTCACAGTATAAACAAAGCCTCCAGGAAGTTCAAAGTGGGCAGGTGGCAAAGCTGCTGTGGCCAAACGGCCTCTCTAGATTTCTCCTCACTGGGCAGGGCATCTCGGAAAGAAAGGCAGCAGCCTGAGTCATGGGCTTGTAAATAAAACTCCCATCTCCCCTGGGACAGAGCACCTGAGGGAAGGGGCAGCTATGGGCCCAGCTTCAGGAGAATTAAACATTCCTGCCTGCCAGCTCTGAAGAGAGCAGTGGACCTCACAGCACGGCACTCCAGCTCTGTGAAGGGACAGACTGCCTCCTCAAGTGGGTCCCTGACCCCCATGCCTCCTGACAGGAGACACCTCCCAGCAGGGGTCAACAGACACCTCACACAGGAGACATCTGACTGGCATCCAGCAGGTGCCCCTCTGGGACAAAGCTTCCAGAGGAAGGAGCAGGCAGCAATCTTTGCTGTTCTGCAGCCTCCACTGGTGATACCTAGGCAAACAGGGTCTGGAGTGGATCTCCAGCAAACTGCAGCAGACCTGCAGAAGAGAGGCCTGATTGTGAGAAGAAAAACTAACAAACAGAAAGCAGTAACATTCAACATCAACAAAAAGAATGTCCACGCAAAAACCCCATCCGCAGGTCATCGGCATCAAAGATCAAAGGTAGATAAATCCACGAAGATGAGGAAAAACCAGGGCAAAAAAGATGAAAATTCCAAAAACCAGAATGCCTCTTCTCCAAAGGCACAAAACCGGATGGAGAATGAGTTTGACAAATTGACAGAAATAGGTTTCAGAAGGTGGGTAACAATAAACTCCTCTGAACTAAAGGAGCATGTTCTAACCCAATGCAAAGAAGCTAACAACCTGAATAAAAGGTTACAGGAACTGCTAACTAGAATAACCAGTTTAGAGAAGACCATAAATGACCTGATGGAGCTGAAAAACATAGCACGAGAACTTCGTGAAGCATACACAAGTATCAATAGCTGAACTGATCAAGCAGAAGAAAGGATATCAAAGACTGAAGATCAACTTAATGAAATAAAGCGTTAAGATTAGAGAAAAAACAATGAAAAGGAACAAAGTCTCCAAGAAATATGGGACTATGTGAAAAGACCAAGCCTACGTTTGATTGGTGTACCTGAAAGTGACGGGGAGAATGGAACCAAGTTGGAAAACACACTTCAGGATATTAACCAGGAGAACTTCCCCAACCTAGCAAGACAGGCCATCATTCAAATTCATGAAATACAGAGACCACCACAAAGATATTCCTCCAGAACAGCAACCCCAAGACACATAATCATCACATTCACCGAGGTTGAAATGAAGGAAAAAATGTTAAGGGCAGCCAGAAAGGTTGCGTTACCCACAAAGGGAAGCCCATCAGACTAACAGCAGATCTCCCTGCAGAAACCCTACAAGCCAGAAGAGAGTGGGGGGCCAATATTCAACAATCCTAAAGACAAGAATGTTCAACCCAGAATATCACATTCAGCCAAATTAAGCTTCATAAGCAAAGGAGAAATAAAATCCTTTACAGACAGACAAATGCTGAGGGATTCTGTCACCACCAGGCCTGCCTTACAAGGGCTCCTGAAGGAAGGACTAAATATGGAAAAAGAAAAATCGGTACCAGCCACTGCAAAATCATACCAAAATGTA